CTCTCTCTCTCTCTCTCTCTCTCTCTCTCTCGTTTCACCCGCTGTTTCTGCCTTTTCCCATTCTCGCTTCCAAACGTTTTCACCGGTGGTCTTTATCTTTTTAGCGCTCGGCTCTCGTTTAAATGGAAGGGAAGTGTCGCGATTAACTTCTCATCACGATGGTTAATTTGCATTAAAAGTAGGTATATAGTATAATTTAGCAAGAGTACTTAGCCTTCCGGTTTCGGCGAGATCATTCCCAGCGGAAGGTTTATTTAATTCTGATGTTATCTCAGCTGCGATGAAGATGATATCTTTCTTAATTTAACATCGTGAAATATATGCCGAGTTAAACAGGTAAACATTTTTAACGTATCGGTGATTCGATTGATCCAACGAAGGACATTAGAGAGACTCTTGAACTCGCAGACTCGAATTACTTTAATTCGCGTGACGAATGGTTTCAAACGGATGTGAAACGATATTCCACGGCAATGTAGCAGATACTTTCGTATCTCGAGTGAAATGTTACCGGGTTAGCTTTCTTACAGATATACAACGCGTGCACATATATTCAAGTCAATTTAATCACAGAGTCCCGAAGGGGTTTCGCGCGTGTTTATAAGGTCAAACGTTGGCATTTCGCCTCCAAGAGAGGGGAGGAGCTTTGATGGTGCTGAACGAGAGCGTTAAAAATGCCAGCTGGACCTTCTTAATTAATCGTTCGTCGATACTGAGAGATGAGATCGAGGATGACTTCGAGAAAAAGAATTCGAATTGTCGAAAACGATTCGAGAGAGAGAGTAAGACACACAGAGTTGGGTCGTCACGTAGCAAGACGAATTCGAAAAGAAGTCTTTATAAATGTCTGGTGTCCCTTGGAAAATCTAATGGCTCTCCAGACGGTCGAAGCGCAATTAAAAGTTGCGGTCGAAACTAACTAAACCAGCCGGAGTTTGATTTAAACGTTTCTGGCTCCCCCTTGCTCTTCTTCCCTCTTCTACGTGACGCCGTTTAATTGCATTTAAATGGATGTTGGAGAAGGTCTGCGAGAGCGAGTGTCTTGGTGTCTTCCTCTCTAACGAAAACTCGATGCCAGGAGGAGGATTGACGTCCGTTAATCGTGATCGACCGAAAGAATCTTAATTGACCAGAGGAACATCGCGACGCGATAATCGCCCGGTCCTTATTTCGTCCGCGTTCGAATACATTAAACGTTTCCTCATTACTATCTTTGAATGGAGCCCGTTGCGAGAAGAAGAAGAAGAAGAAGAGAGGAAAAAACAAAAAAGAAATTACGTACCCTTCTCCTTCGGAGTAGTCACATTTCGTTTGGAAATCGACATCCTTTAACCTTTAATCGCAGCCTCACGTCAGTGAGAAATTTTTGGGGAACGAAAGAACGATTTTAGATGTAGAACATAACAGGTTAACATTCGATACTTTCATCTGAATGAGTCTCTCCAAAGAAATTGCCCGCTTTCATTTATTACTTTTTCGTCAATAATTTCCATCGAAATTGTCAAGGCAAAAAATTGCGTTGTACGCACAACAAACGGCGCCTGCCTGGCCGTACAGTGATTTTCGTGGCGGAAATGAAAATACCAAATCCCCGTGCAGATTCCTTTCCTCGGCCGATCCGTCCAACCGAGAAATAACTGCAAATAACGTTCGGGGATTACTTAGTTACCGTGATACACTTGTGGCCCTGGCTATGTGTCGTGCGCGATGCAGTAACTGGGTTTTCCACTTCTCCTCTTGTCCGTGTACTCTTTGTGACTGGATATATCTGTGGCTAAGTACACGTGTACACGTATACACGATGTCGTCGAGATGAGAACGAGAGGAAGGGAGGGAGAGATTTTGGTGAGTCTCTCTTCACAAAGTACGGATCTGTCCCACTCGACACCAACAAGGGGGAATTGAAAAGCTGCCTGGCAATCCGGATAGCTTATCCCGGTCGAACCCTAACCTTCCTATTTCTGCCTCTGTTTCCTTTTTTTCTTCTTCCTTTTTTTTTTCTTTTTTCTACGTTTTTCTCTCTGCTACTCATTCCTGGACCCCTCATTTAACTCTTCCGGATAATTATTGCTAATTGTTAATAGCTTCTCTTTTTTAGAAGGGTGGAATTTCGTCGACGTGTAGAACACGTTGGAGGGAAACTCCTCCTGTCTCGCGCGTCGGTGAAACCATTTCCCGCAGCTTGAACTCGCAGCTCGAACCAAAACATTCGATTGGAAGGCAACGATCTCGTATTGAAGCAGATTTTACGCGCGAGCAAATGAAATTTTCAGCTAGAGTGTCGAGACTCGCAAACGGAGTGAGAATTTCGAATTCTAGCAGTGTTCTTTGCACGAATGACGAGCGGATCGATTTATAACTCCCTCCCAGTTCAAACACCATCGACACCTTGTCCCTCGAATTCGAAGAGGCACGCTCCCCTTTGACACGGGCTGCAAAGAACCCAGTCCAACATTAATGATCGGCATACGAAAATCCTCTGGCCTGCTCTCGTCGATACGAGCCATCGAGCCAAGCAAGTCGTGATAGAGGGCCAAGGTATAGCACTGACGTGAACCCGGTGAAACACAGAAACAGAAACAGGATAGAGAGAGAGAGAGAACGAGGAGGAAGGTAGAGGATAGGGCAAAGAGGGTGAGAGTTTCCTGCCACGTAATACTACTCGACGTCCCTAGAATTTGCTCTGCGGTCTGACTGCTCGTGCGGCTGCCCCCGTCAATTGCGATAATTATTGTGTCAGTAAATACTCCGTAACCATACGAACTAACGGGCTCGCGCGATCGACTGGACGTAATATGCTCACAGCGTGTACATACACTTATACCCGGCGATATAATTAAATGAACGACCGCGATGTTATGTTGGCGTTAGCTATGGACCGTGTCATACGACCGGTTGTTCCCGAGCATCGTGATCGAGAATCGAGAGCATTCGTTTCCTGCGAATTAATTATTATGTCAAAGAAATCACCAGAGAGTATATAATTCGAGCCGCGAAAACGGACGTTCGAAACAACGCCGAGCGCCTCCATTAATTAATATCCCGCGAGTTCTATTAATTATTATATAAGCGGCTCTATCTTTTGTCACTGATCTTACGACGAAGATGGAAAAATAAAGCCACTCTTGGATACCCTTCTAAATGAAAGATTATCTGTTCTACCAGATATTTGAGAAAAGCGTTGTGCGCTCGATGTTTTCTCAGCAAACACGCTCGTGTTTCAAAAAGTAATACATTAGAGTCAGCCAGGATCTTTAATCATTGAGTAGTGAATAAAGCTATATATCCTGATCGTTTAATAACGGAGAAGTGTATGCGTTGGGAGGGGAAAAAAAAAAAAAAAAAAAGAATAACTCCACCCGTGAACGTTGTCCCTTTCTGTAAACGAAAAACGAGATACTAACTCGAAGCTACGCGATACCTGACAAACAAGTTTGCTCCACGTTAATCGAATTGAACCGAGCTGCAATCCACTGTAATCGAGCCTACACTATGTGTCTTCTCCTACATATTATTATTCCACATCTTTATCGAGTTGTTTGATTGCAACAAAGTATAAATCAGAATTGTCGTACGTTTCTCCTGTGATCTTCGATATATGAATCGAAGGTTGAAGGTGCTGAAGATAAAGTAATTTCATTCGCTGCTTTTTCAACCCTGCACTTCGCGCGGACATGGGCCACGTGCAGAAGTAGCTGCTCTCTGAATTAGGGTTCGTGATTGTTGCGAATTACCGATCGCGTGTTTGCGTTACACCGTGACGGGTTGGCCGACATATTTTCAGGAAAGTTTTCTCGTACGGTGTCAAGTGTTTGCGGACCCATTGGCATTGATAATGGGTGACGATGGAACCTTTCGTAACTTTATTACGCTCGAAGGGCGCAACAATGGCCACGTGCCTGTCGCTCGGGCAACACACGCTATTGCCACGCTCTTTCGATTCTAACATTCGGTTAATGGAGTGTCCGTTAATTAATAAAACGCTCTCGGGACTAACCCCTCGTGTTCGCGTTGCAACCGTGAGTTTTTCCTATTCTCAGCTCGCGAATGCGTTTTTTTTTTCTTTTTTCTTTTCGTTGCAAATGATTGCTCACCGTTTCTCGCGGAGGGCTCCAACACTGAGGCGAATTACGACCACTGTGACTACTGGTGGCTGAATTTGTAACCGAACGGAGATTCTGTGCGGTGATGTTCAACGGTGTGACTGGATCGTCCTCTGTCGTCTCGATGTCCACCTCGTCGTCAGAGTTATCCTCCTTGTGTGACACCGAGGTGTCTGACGGTTGTTCTTGGGTCACCGGCTCCACTATCGGTGGTCCACGAATGACAGGACGAAAGGCAGACTGATGTAGCGATGGATTCACCGTTGGTATAAGCGGTTCTGTTGGACTGGAACCGCTTATTGGCGGTGGTAGA